AGGAAGGGGCTGTCGGGGTAAAGCGCAAGGGAGGCCCAGACGGAGGGGTGGGGACGGGGGGGCTATCTTCCCCTGGGGGAGCGAAGTCGGTGTCCAACGCGGGCGCGGGCTCTCAGGGGAAAGCACTAGCGACTGGAGGAGGAGGAGGAGGAGGAGGAGGAGGAGGAGGAGCATGGGTGCACAAGATCCGCAAGGAAACGACTCCATCTCCTATGGCTTCGCCCAAAGCAGGGAGCGGACAAGTGAACAGAGTTAAGGAAGAATCCCCATCTGCTCTCCCTCCTCCGTCTGGGGGAGGGGGAGGAGGGGGAGCGGGAGCGGGGGGATTGCGCAGGGGAGAGCCCGGGTCGCCTCCACCAGTCAAGAGGGCCCAGGTCTTGACGTCTGTCAAGTCTGAGCCTCCCAAACCCACCTCCTCCCTCTCTCCTCCTTCCCCCCCGCCATCGAAAGTGACGAAACACGATGGCCCCGCCGCCGGCGGGTCCTCCTCCTCCTCCCTCCTCAAGCCTAAGCCCCCTTCTACCCCAACTCCCGCTTCTCATAAGACCTCGGAGTCATCTGACTCCGAGGACGATAAGCCTCTGGTTGCCCGCGCTCGGCTTCCCGCCAATGCACCTCCCGTTGGCGGGAAAAAGCGACCAGCAGACAAGAACGGAGCTATGGCCTCCATAGGAAGTCCAGAAAAGAAGCCTAGGGTAACGACCACTGGTCCATCATTTTCGAATGCCATCAAGAAGGAGCAGGGCGCTGACGTGGCAGATGCAGAGAGCGACGACGACGTGCCACTGGCGAAGAGGGCGTCGGTTTCCATCAAGCCGAACCCTAGTAGCAGCTCTGCGGGCGGTGCAGCAGGAGCGGCCACGAAGAAGGTTCTAGACAAGGGTGGCTTGAGCAACAAGAGCAAAACTCCGGTGGGAGGAGTGAAGACGCCCAACAAGGTGAAGAGGGAGGTGGTCCAGGATAAGAGATCTCCCGTCGTGCCGAAGGGAGATAGCGGGGGCGACCCCTCGACGTCCAGCGATGGCAAGGTGAAGTGGACCACCTTGGAACATCATGGTGTTATCTTCCCGCCCCCCTACACGCCGCACGGGCTTAAGATGCTGTATAACGGGAAACCTGTCGACTTGACGCCTGAACAGGAAGAGGTGCGTTCCCTTCCCTTCCCTTCCCTTCCCTTACCTCATATGTTACGTTATGGTGGAGAGAGAGAGAGAGAGAGAGAGAGAGAGAGAGAGAGAGAGAGAGAGAGAGAGAGAGAGAGAGAGAGAGAATGTATGT